ATGGCGAATTTAAAAATAATTTTGCAATGCAATTTTTGTATGACAAACGGAAGTTGAGCAAGCAACAAATTGCCAAAAACAATAGTTGGGCACATTTGTTTATAAAAGTTTGGTAACTGAATTTTCGGATGGCCGAAAAGTGTTATCAGTGTTGACTTCACTATGTTAATGAATATAAGAGTTTTTATAAGTGCTGACATGTCTTCCATATTCATGTATGTATAAGAGTTTTATGACTGCATGCAACTTTGCAAGTTTTTCATAAGAGAGCAATCGACAAGTATAGCAAAATCTTATCAGATTTATCAAAAAAATGCTATGTATCGATATGTATGCATATCTCACTAAACTGATATTTCAATTTGTCAATAAATCCATTTAAAAGTAAAACAAAATAAACAGAGTTAATTATTAAACGACTCAATTTCCGCTAAAAAGAGGCGCAGCAGTTGTCAACAATTGTTTTCCTTCTTTTTTATGGCGTGCGAATAAGAACTTCCACTACGTCCCTCTACACCACTCTCACTCTGTCTCACTCACTCTTTCAATTGGCGCGCTGGTCAACGCGTCTTACGAACTGATATCAATGTATGACGCATATAAGAGTTGCAGCAAATATATATAAAAATGGCTTATTAGCTTCTTATTGGATATATAAGAGTACGCTTTTTATACTCATTCACGAAAGTGAATCAGTATATTGGTTTTGTGCAATGTCCGTCTTGCTGTCCGTCCGTCTGTCCGTCTGTCCGTCCGTCCGTCTGTCCGTCTGTCCGTCTGTCCGTATGAACGCAATATATTTCGGCGCTATTGAAGCTAGAGACTTGAAATTTGGAGCACATACTCGTGTATATCTCCGATTTATAAAGTGTTAAAATTTTTCCGATCCGCCTACTAGGGGCGTGGCAAATCGGAAAATGCATTTTCCGATATACCAGAAATCATGTTAGTTAAAGAGCTAGAAAGCTGAAATTTGGTATGTAGGTCCGCGTCGACAACCCAAGATCACAAGCTATGGCGGATATATCTCCGCCCATTGGGGGCGTGGCAAATCGGATAAAACTGTATCTCCTAAAGTTGTAAACCTAGAATGCTAAAATTTTGCATGTCAGCTAATGTTATGATTCTATAAAGTCTAAAAATAAAATTATAAGTCTACACCCATTAGGGGCGTGCCAAATCGGACCTGAAGATATAGTGATTTTTCAAATTCTGCTATTTTTTGGACACTATTGATGCCAGAGATCTCAAATTTTGTATATATACTCGGGCTGATCACCCAAGACCAAAAAGCTTTGTCGGATATATGTCCGCCCACAGGGGGCGTGGCAAACCGCAAAAATGTATATCTCCTAAAGTATAATAGCTAGAAGCCTTAAATTTGAATAGTTGAGTTACTGGTAGCCTCCTCTATCGATTCCCCAAAAAATAATTTTTACGCCTCTTTAGGGGCGTGGCATATCGAAAAATACCCTGTAATTTTCACATTTCTTAAGAGTAAGCATTCAAACTTTGCAGTTAGGGTACTGTTATCTCGTTCTAGAAACTGACCAAAAATGAGGTATTTACGCCCAGTAGGGGCGTGGCAAATCGGAAAAGCCTGTATATTCTACAGTATTAGAGCGAAACTTAACTACTAAATTGTTGATGGGATGTGAATGAGTATTCCGCAGTCGGTAACGCCCGACTGCAACGTTCTTACTTGTTTGTTGTTATTTTCAACGATCTCACCTTCGTCTTTGGCTTGCCGCACTACGTCGCGTATCTGCAGCTCCATAATGCGCCGCAAATACTGATCGATGTGATTCATCATTTCGTTTGTATACATTTGCTTTATATCCACATGAAACATTAATAGCAAAAACAAAAAAATAACCAAAACACAATGTAAATAATCAATCAGAATATAAGTTGAGCCAAGTGCAATCACGTAGACCCAATTCGAATCCAGTTAGTTGTGAAGCGCGCGTCGGATTCAGTACTGAGGAGAAATGCGACAATTGCGATCGTTTCTTATCAGCCCAATATTCTTATCAGACATTTCGAATAGAGAACGTGAGCGTAGCTAAAGCTAATAGCGCGCCAGAGAGCGAGTGAGAGAGAGAGAGAGCGAGAGCACGCTGCTTCAGTTTGTTTTTGGGCGTGACCGTTAGGTGTGCAAGCAACAGATTTAACACTGTGATACAAGATTTTGGGTTTAAGGTAAACACTGATATTAAAATAAATGTGGCTTACATTTATAAAAAAAAAAAAATAAGTAAATAAAAGTATAACAACAAAAATGGTTATTATTCATTATAATATTTAATTTGATTTATTTTAGTTCATTTTTGGTAGATAAACTATGACCAAATTTAACTATAATTAATATGTAATAATTATTATTATACATAATTAATTGTATTTGATAAATTATAGCAATTTTACCATAAACAACATGTTGCTCAGCTTAGAATTTCAATTTGATATTTTTTTCCAGTCAGCTCTTTTTGGCTGTTGGTGTTGAAGCACAATTCCAAATGGAATCTAATAGGAATGGCAAACGGAAATTGGGTGTTAACGCTTGACAGAGCAACAGACGAGCGTGAAAAGTTAACCAAATAATAAAAGCAACAACAACAAGAACAGCAAGCAGCAGCAACAACTGCCACAACGAATCAACGTCCACTCACAGTTTGAGAGGCACTGCCTTTAGCACGGTCGGCAATTTTCATCAAGTTCGTTGGCATTCGCGCTAATTTGATTTGAGTGCAATGACAGCCAAGCAGCAAACGACTCCAGAACCAGTGGCACCAACAGCCACGCCCACCCACCAAGAAGAGCGCCCCCCATCACTGTCACATTGTCCTGTTTGCCCAGGTGCAACATTTGCTGAGGCCTTATTTGCTGTTGTTGTTGTTGCTCCAGTCTCCAATTAGCTTTGCTGCCAATTAGCCAAAACATTCCACTTGCTGCTCATAATTTAGGTAAATGTTTTTTTTTTTTCTTTCTTTTTGGGGATTGGTATTTGGAGCAAAACTGAGTCGAAAGCATTGACAATTTTATTTATGGGGCACGAACAAATTGTTGTTGTTGCTGTTGCGTTTGTTGCTGTTGCAGCTGCGCTCGCTGTGAAAATTCCAGCGTGAAAAATCAAATGAAAATAAACTCAGAAAAATCCAATTGGGCGAGTGATTTATGTATCTGTGCGTGTGTGTGTGTGTGAGTGTTTGCGTGTGCCTATGTGTTATTTCAACTTGCAGTTCATTTAAGACACCTGCTGGCGCTGTATTAATCATCAATCAAGTTCCCCTTTCTTGATAACACGCCGCCAATCAGAATGTGTACCGATAACATACAATTCCCAATTAGACTCTTAATCATAGTTGAGCTAAATAATGCAGCAGCAAGCAAAACAAAAAACGATTTTACTACAAATAAATATTATCTGAACCAAAAGCTTTTAATTATAACTAAATGCGTTCTGGATACAAAATATTATTTAATAACAAATTTAGCGTTTTTATGTGCATAATAGATATTTATAAATATTATTCATAGTAAAAATATAATAAACCAAAAATAATATTCATATTAATAACACAAAATCGAGTTCACGAACTGCAGCGAACCAGTTGATCAGTTGAGATGAGCTTTGCAGCCCTGCTTAGCTCGGCTAACGGTTAAAGGAATATGCTAGCCTTTACAGTAAGAAGTGAATTCATATTCGCACAATAAAAAATAATGAAAAAACGTAGGCTAAAAATAATTGAATTATAGAAAAATTCTCTATTGATATAACAACAATAAAAAGCCATCAAGTTGAAAGGACATCAAATTGATAATTTATGGATATATGCAAAATTCTCAATAATAATATGATAATTAATTATAATATTATTATTGTTTTTGTTGTTGCCGTTGGCTGCAGCTGCATCTAAAATTTCCCTCTGTTTATGCATGCAGCCGACAATCGCTTTAAATGACGGGCAAACAGAGCGCTGACTAACAGTTATTTACAAGTAAGCACACACACACACACACACATGCACTGTCATTCACACACCCATACACACATGCATTGCACTGCTGTTTGTTTGTTGATTTTGTTTATCGACGCAGTTATAGTTATGAAGTCCATAAACGATGCGGCCAATGCTTCTGAGCAATGCTTTTTAATTGTTGTTATTATTGCTGTTGTTGTTTTTGTTATTGTTCCTTCTACTTGCCGTTTCGCAGCGCTCAACTCAATTTCAACTCAATTAAACATCATGGCGCGAGCAATTAATGAGAGTTCTACAAAAATTTAGCTTGCCCACCAACAGATACCATGTAAAACACATGTAATAACAGAATTCATGAAATAAGTAATATATATTAATATAATAAATATTTTATAAGTCTTGATATTCTGTTTGCATATCTCTTATAATTGAGTTATTCGATATACCCAACTTAGGCAAATTATGAGTACAGGGTATCAAAAACGCAGACTATGCAAATGAAAGTACATTAAATGCACACACACAAATACATTAAATGCATATGCATGTGTGTTTGTGTGTAGAACATGCAAGCTGCAGTTGTAAGACGACTGCTGCTGCGGTGCATCTCAAACTGTGTCTCAACAACCAGATTTCCTATGCTAACAAGCCCAAGCAGAGAGAGAGTGAGAGAAGCTGAGAGAGAGAGGGTGACTGTGACCAGGTGGAGTTGGGGTTGTGTGGGGGGCAGCCAGTGTGGCGTGTCCGTGTCGCATTGTGGCAAAACGGAAGTGCGCCGAGCGAGAAGCAAACGTCAAGAACAAAACATAAACTGAGAAAACCGAAAACAAAAACACAGCCCAGCGCTAACGGTGGATGAAGTGAGGTCTAAGATTATGAAGGGCGGCAGAGTAAAGAATATGCAAGCAGCAGTTCTATGCAAAACAAAGACAAAATGAGTGACTGTGTGTGCAAAGAGAGATTATGATAAAAAAAAAAAAAAAAAATTAAAAACAAAGAACGATAACGATTACTCACCATTGAGGTCCTTGGTTAATTGCGAACGCGTCGACATTTTGACTGTTGTGTTATTGTTGTTGTTTATAAGTTTGCGGCGAAAGTGGCAGCAATTTGGCAGCGAGCGAAAATGAAGTCAAACAGGAATAACCACCAGGCGGCGGTGGCAACAGAGACCACTGCGGGCGGCGACGGCGGCGGCGGCGAATTGCGTGCTGAATGCCAGGCGAAAAGGGTCCACAAAACAATTTGAAGTTTGTTGTTGTGGCTCGTCTTCTTTTTCTTCTTCCTCTTATTCGTCTTGTTGTTGTCGATACAATTTTGCTTGGCGCATAAAACTGGATTTAAAGCCTGGCTACGCATGCCGTTCGGGACGAACGGAAACAACCTTCAATTGTTGCTCACACATTTTTCGCAACGGTTTTCCTCAATTCTTTTCCTTTTCGTTTTTTATAGACACACACACTCATACACGCAAACAAACACTTTGCACGGTTTTCCACCCTCTGTCGGGGGATCGGTTGGTCTCGCTTCGTTTTTCTGCACTAACAATTGTTTTCTTTTTTCTTCAACTATCTTATAACCAAATTAAAATTAATTTGCGTATTAAAGCTTTGGCGATTCGTTAAATTTGAATATTTTGATTATTTGCTTGGGAATTCTTGGAATTCGTTTCGGGTTTCCCTTTTTTTTTTTTTTTTTTTTTTGCCGCAATCGCTTTGAATATTTTGATAAAAATTGAACACTTCTGGTGTTAACTATGTGGCGCTGCTATCACATTGACTTAATGCACCGCACACAGTTAATTTATTTGACTAAGAACGTTTTGCATAAGTGTGCAAAAAATTGTGCCTTAAATATTAATATAAAAACTCAGCGCACTGGCACCGCGAACAGCACACACGACGAATGAAAAGCGTTGGGTCTACTGAGCAGTGTGACCAGTTCCCGCAAGCCAATAAAAAGTTCACAATGCATGCTATGAAAATACCAAACAGCTGTTACAGCACATAGGGAAAATATATATATTTATTAGTTGAGCATAATTGATACCTATATTTTAGGTAAATTTAATGCTATTTTTATTCATTAAAGTAGGCATTTGTATATATTTAGAGCTATGCATTTGCAGCCCTAGCTGCACAGTGCTGCAAAATTCAACAATTTCGAACGCTTTACAGCACTGTGTTTGCCGCATGCTGAATGGCGCCCGAAATAAATACCAGAAGAAGAAGCAAATATCAGTTGAGCAGACAACATTTGGAGCGCTAAAATGGCAAATGTGCGCTGTTTGCAAAAAGTAATACGCCTACAAAAGTTTGTGCTGCCAATCAGTAAGTAAATTAAACAGTAATCAAACCATTGTTGACATAAAGCAAAGAAGCGCGCGTGCTGGATTTCGCAATTCGCCCATTACGAAAGACGTGCGAGTGAGAGTGGCATTCAAAGCGAACAGCTGTTTTCTTTACACTTTTTTCATTCCTTTTCCGTTCGATTTATACGTCAGGGGGGAGAGGACAAAGCAAATGCTGTGGCTGCCGGTCAAAATTTTATTTAGAATTTTTAGTTAAAATAAAACAAAGTGAAAACAAAAAATCAAAACAAAAAAAAAGTAAATAAAACAAAATCAAAATACCATGGACGTAGAAATGGAAACGGAACCGGTAACAGAAGCCGAGAACCTGTTAAGCCTAATTAAGCGTATGCTCCACGAGCGCGATTTCGATGGCATCAAAATGCTCTTCCAGAGCCCCGCGGTCTTCGCGGAAATCGAACCGCACATGCCCGCCGCCGCATTGGACATGTATACGGAAATCTGTGCACCGACGTTAACGGACGAAACGAATGTGGACGACACGCAGTTGTTCGACTGCGTCAATGAGCTGCTGAAGATCGTCGCTAAATATGCGCCGCTGCACCAGTTTATGCTGGAGCTGATGGAAAAGATCGAGGAGAGCAGCAGCATAGCCATATTCTCGGCATATCTTCGTGCATTGCAGGTGGTGCTGCTGCGACAGGGTCAGTCCAAGCCGCAGGCCATCGAGTGGTGTCTCGCCTCTGTAGTTACACGTGTGCGGGAGCTGCCGTTGCCGCAGTACCTCAGCGAGGGCTACGATGAGCAACAAGCCCATCTGCTGGAGCAGGACAAACAAATCGAGGAAATGCTGGCGCATTACATCACCATCGATCTGTGCTACGAACCACTCTTGAAGGTGGTCCTCGAGCAGGATTGCAACACATCGGTCTTTCGGGATTGTAGCCTGAATCGTCGTAATGCCTTAATCTGCTTCCTAATTCAGCTGCTGGGCAAACCGCTGGCCCTGCTCGAGCTGAGCAATGTACCGAAGCGATTGCTGGAGCCGGGACAAGCGCACATCTGTACGCCCAGTCCGTGGCGCCTGCGGCCGGAGTTGACTCAGCAAAGTTATCTCCAGGCCCGCGCCAAGGCGGGCAAAACACAATCATATGTCCAGCAGGTGTTGCATACTCTGGTAACGGACGCCTCACGATTGCTACGGGATCCTTACTATCTCCTCTGCCTGGTGGAGCAGCGCGCCCGCTGGAAACGTCGCCTGGACGCTGAAAAGGGTGTCTACGAGATGAGCAGCCACAATATCTTCCTAATCGACGAGAAACTCCCACTGCCTGCCCTGGCCATGTATTATCACGCTCTGCTCGTGGGCCAATTGCTGCCCAAGAGCGCGCCCAAAGTCTATGCCCCACTGCATTTATTCGAATCGTGTCTATACTTGGTCTCGGTGCTGCTGGAGCAACCGGAGCCGCCGATGCAGCATTGTGGATTACGCTTGAATGATTATGCGCTGAGCATCCTGACGGAGCCTGTGCCGCAGCGTTCGCTGGATTTGGAGGTGCACAAGCGCTACTGTGAGGTGCTCTGCAAGATAACGGGCTATTCCTCGCAGGAGTCGCTGCGTCAACTGGGCCTCCAGGTGCTGCATCACTATATACTCGCCTTCGAGGATACAGCCAAGTATTTCATATTGAAAAACCTGCTGGAAACTGTGCAGCACGACGGCATCTTGGGCTATCTGGCGGGAATGTATAAGGATTTAGCTGCCGCGCAAATGGAGCTGAAGGTGCCCCTGAGCGAGGTCTACAGCGGAGTACAGTTCCGGTCCATGGTGCTGCGGTGTGTTTGCGTGCTCCCCCAAGACGTGAAATCGGACCTTTTGATGCATTCGGTAACCATATCGAATGCCCTGAACATGGTGCGGTACTTTGCCATGGCTGACCTTGGTAACCGAACAGGATTCTGGGATGTGCTGCCAGAGATTGAGCAGCGATTCCTGGAACCCCTCGGCAAAGCCCTAAACTTCTCCCTCGCCCACTACAAGGCGTACAGGGAACGGGTGCTCAATGGCCAGAGCTCATCCGACGACGAGCTAATGCAGAAGCAGCTTAATATGCTGGCCGTGAACATAACCAACAGCGGGATGGACGGCGGCGAGGGAGATGGCCATTTGCCGGACATTGGGCGTGAGGAGAAGCTCGAGGTGTTGGCCGGGTCCATAACGGGACTGGAATCACTGCGCGTGCTCTACCTGCTGACCAGCGATAATGTGGAGCAGAGCTCGATAAAGCGCAAAAAAATGATCCAATCGGACTAGAAATTGGACAAAATACAAATCAAAAGCATCTGTTTCTATGTTTATATCTCCTTTGATCGAACGTAAATGAAAACGAAATTTATCCGACAATCATAATGGCATTTTTTTTTTCTATACACATACTATGTGTATTTGTTTATTTTTGTGTGTTTTTACGGTCAACAGGTGCTAATTGACCAAGCTAACTGTGCTCTCTCGCTCACCTGTCGCCTCCAAAAAGGTGTTAATTAATGACACAGCAAAGCGAACGCAGCCATACTGTGATCTTTGCCTTGTTTTAGCTGACCTTCAAACTAATTAGAGCAAAGGGGGAAACCACAACTCCACACGAAATGTGAAACAAATTGTCAACTAAATTTTTAAATATGTATTTAAAAATTAACCTGCCACCTGGGGTTACCTCAATTATGCTGGCCATAAAGTAGAATCACTGATAACAAAAATACTTAATTGAGATAATTTAATGACTAAGCGAAGAGTTTATGAATGATCCTTCAAGTATGTATATTATAAACAGCCAAAATAAAAGCTTTTAAATCTTAAAAAAAAAAAAGAGTTTTACAGAAGCCTTATCAGCTTAAATTCAAGATAATGAAAATTTAAAAAAATAAATAAATAAATGAAAGTCATATTGCTAAAATATGACGAATGACGATTGGAATATAAATTAACACTTGAATATATTAAATTGAGAGTTTCACATTATTTTGAAATAAAAACATTTTTGCAATTAAAACATTCTTATACACAATTTCAACTGTATTGCCAAAGAGAAGTTCTTTTATACTTGATTGATTGATTAAATGATTTGCAGATGCACAAGGCTGCTGGCTGGCCATTAGCACCGTTACACCAGCCGCCGTGCTCACACTGCAACAGCAGCGCCCAGTATTCTTGCCCAGCTACGCTGTGGGACGCAGCTACTCCTCGAGCAGCGACAACTTGGATGAGTTTCGGGCGCGTGAGGAGCAACGCGAAAGGGAGCGCGATGCGGCCGAACAGAAGGCGTACAAGGCCACAATGAGCGATGCGGGCGGCGGTGCTGGAATAGGTGGCGGTGGTGCGCCACCCGATGAGGAGCAGTCAGCCAAGCAGGCCAAGGTGGATGCCATACGAACGCGTATACTGGATGCAGCGCTGCTGCATGTGCCGGAGCTTGGCTGGACCAAGCAAGCGATTGTCCAGGGCGCCGAGGAGAGCGGCTTTCCGAGTGTCGTCCATGGCATGTTTCCCGATGGCGGCTTTGCGCTTGTCTCCCATTTCAATGGCAAGTGTAATGCGGAGCTGGTGCAGAGTCTGCAGAAGAGAACGGACAATGGCCAAAAGGAGGTCGGTGATCCGCTGGATTTCCTAGTCCAAGCGGTGCGCCAGCGCCTCAGCATGATTGAGCCTTTCAAGAAGCAATGGCCCCAGGCCATGGCACTGATAGCACAGCCGGCAAATGCATCCACAGCGCTGGCGCAGGTGCTCACCCTAGTCGATGATATTTGCTACTATTCCGGCGATCGTTCCGTCGATGTGAGCTTGACTAAAACGAATCTCTGTCCATATATTCATTTGCCTTCATTGCTCCACAGTTTGGCTGGTATACGCGTCGCGTTGGCTTGGCCACCATTATGAAGATGACGGAGCTGTATATGCTGCAGGACACCTCAGCGGGACACGCCCAGACGTGGGAGTTCCTCAAGAATCGCATGGATGAGGCTGTCCAGCTGCAGATGGCTTTGGCTCAAACTGAGGGCATGACGCAGACATTTCAACGTTCCTTTAACTCTGCTTTCATAACGGTATGTTGAACGAACTTAATCTAGAAAAGTAATTCAACTTAATTCGATTCTCTCTCTCTCTCTCTCTCTCTTGCAGGCGCGCAACATACTCGGACTTGGCTACAGTCGTCACTAGCTAAGCTGCACAAAAAATCAGCAAATGTCCAAAGAACAACCGAGTGCTATGTAAAAATATTAAATATACATATATATACTATATATATATAATACGATTTATACCTTATAAAAATTGTCATAATATACCTGATCTACGTGTATTTATGCATATTTGTAGGCTGTTTTTTCTAGAGCTCTCGATTTTTTCTTAAAGATTTTTTTTATAGTAGATCCAAATTTGATTTTGAGTTTGTATTATATATTTTTTATTTTCTAAATTCAAACTTTAGAATAGTCACATATCAGTTTGTCACAAATTAATTTTCCTTAAATAATTTCTTGCTAAGTTTCAAGTTAAAGAATATATTTAATATTTTTAGTTTTAAAATTCAATTTTAAAATTTTCTTGATTTCGCTTTGTATCCAATTATTTTTCTATATATAAACTCTCGCTGATTTTTAAGTTCCCTTTTGATTTAAAAATTGTATTCATTATTATTTAAATTTAAATTTTATAATTTCCATATCCTGCTTTGTCACAAACTAGTTTTCCTTAATTGTTCCTTATGTAAATGGTCAATTGTAAATATATTTTCTGCTGAAGCAATCGCTTCTCACTCTTATACAAGTCTTATACGAATCATATACACTGAAATATTCATAAACATCGTGTATTTTTGTAGTCATATTGGTATCTAAGTCAACTACAATTATTATTATCTTAATGTATAAAAACTTTTTAAAATTTTGGGGGTTAAATAGTTGTATAATCTAAAATCGATTTATGTCTATAAAATGATCAAATACAGTTTTGTGGTTAAAAGGAAACAGAAGCAAATTTCATTTAAAGATTATTAAAAGTACTATATACGTTTATCTTCAACCAAACTGTCCTTCTACAAGAATTTTTGATTGAGCTATAAAACAATTCAGTTTTGTGGTGTTGCCATTCAAAATATATTTTGATTTTTAATAACACAACTAAGAAAAGAGCAATAGGTGTGGCACCTCCGTTCTTCGATGGATATACTACATACTCATACTTGCGAAAGTGTTGTTTGTTTAAATTGCGATTGCATATGGGTGTGTAGATGTGCAGGGTATACTATAAAAGAACTAGCTCTGGGGCAGTTGATCAGCAGTCCTGTCCCATTTGGAGGGGAGTACAGCCACTCGCGGTTTAACAGGCAACACCTTCGCAGATACGGGAAAGCGAGACTTCCACGTCCAGGTATCCTCTTCCCGTGGTTTCTGTTGCTCGGGGTCAACGAATGCCGCTGGAATGACACTCTTATTGGGTTCGTTCCATCTGGGAATGCGCCGGCGTTTGGTCCGCCTCATTTTGTTACGCTTAGCCGAAACCACATACGAATATAGCTCCGATATGTCTTTGCATAAATCGGAGTGCTTCAACAAGGACTTGTTATGGGACGACGGATACTTTAATCGACAATTCCCGTTGCTGGATCCATTGCAGCAATCGGACAGCTGGCGCACCGGACAGAGGGGACAGGCATAGGGTATTGGTTCGCATGGGGTCCATTCCATGCGGCAGCAGTGTTGGCACATTTCCTAGCTATGTTATTCAAATCAAAAATAAACCCAATTTAGTTCTAGGTACAATTTGGCAAAAGTTAAAAACGTTTTCTACACGGCCCTTTCGAATTTTCTGATCATCAAAATTCGAAAGCTACCAAGCTACCAAAGGAAACAAATTCTGACTGATGGCTCCAAGTAGCATAAAATGGATAAGTTTACCAGAAGTGGAAGCTCTATTATTAAAGTAAACTATGCTAAAAATAACTATTTTATTTGCAGAGGAAGTTAAATGTCATTTAAGTCGTGCTTTATAAGAACTGGAAGATTATAACTTAAGTTTCTTTCAGTTATATATAAATTTTCTCTTTTCTAGATAGAGTTTTCATAGTTTAACAATTACAATATGCTCTATGCTCAGAGAGCTTATCATGTGTTGTACATATAGTCAGCATATGTTTTCCTTAGAATCTTTGTTGAAAATGTATTGCACAAGGTAAAACATTTTGAATGGAGACAACAAAAATCAAATTAAAATAAAAACAAAGACTAAAGTCATATTTAAGCACAAGGTTGCAAATAGGGTTCATCATGTTGCGGCAGTTGCTCCACTTTGCTGTGAATTGAAATGAGATTTGGAATTCGATTTAGATTTAGCTAGAGACTATTAACTATACTATATAGCACATGCCTATGTGGATTGTCAGTTTGAGTTAGCTGTCGCTTTAGCTGCTTCTGTAGCCGCATTGGCTGCTCATTGCTGGCCAGGATCATCGCATCGAGCTGCTGTTTGAGTTGGGCAAATGTGGGTCGATTTCCCGGTATAGAACACCAGCAGCTTGTCATTAGAGCAAATCTGTAAAGACAATTATCTTTGATATATATGTTTTATTTATCTACTCTGCAGCTACGTACACTTCATCTGTGCAGCCTTCGGGCTGTTTCATGCGCTGTCCCTGACGCAGCAGCTGCAGCAAATCTCTGGGCGAGATGGAAGGATATGGCATGCCGCCCAGTGTGGTAATCTCATACAGCAGCACCCCAAAAGACCAACTGAAAGCAGAAAGTAAATACAAATATATAAATTCTGTTTAGCAGACATAGATCACATTCTTACACATCGCTCTGGCTGGTGTACACCTGATGGGTCAGCGACTCCAAGGCCAACCACTTGATGGGCAGCTTGCCACTGCCTCCAGATTTACGATAAACATTCTCATGGTAGACATCACGACTCAGACTGATAATAAAAATTAAGTTTAATTAATATGTATGCCATAATCTATATATAATATATGCTTGCCCAAAGTCTGCTATTTTGATGGTTAGATCCATGGAGATGAGCACGTTTCGTGCAGCCAAATCTCGATGCACAATTTTATTCTGTGCCAAAAAGTCCTGTGGATAGAAGTCATTATCATCCTATACATTTTCTGGCTCTATCTATGCCCTTACCATGCCCACAGCCACCTGTTGCGCAATATCCAAGAGATCGGCATATTTCAGTGGTTGCCTTTCCAATTCTTGTTCAACGGCTGGTGTATTGAAGTACTCCTGATTTTCAAAGCTAGCCGTGCAGCAGGTGTTTTTCTCTGACTGCTTCTCCTTTTGACTGCGCTTCAATAGGTTCTTCAGAGTTGCCACAGCAGCAACTGCTGGTCCTGCATTCGCCTCAATATTCTCAATGCCGTGCAGTCCATAGGATTTGTTGTCGGCAGCAAGTGTTCCCTTGTTCCATTTGAAGCTGGTATCTTGGCGACTGCTGTTCCTTGAGAGATCCGTCTCGGATTCCTCTTCCAGGGTGGACAACATGGATCGATTTATATCCTCAATACGTGTATCGTTATACAAGAGATGCCCAGAACGCATTGAGTGATGCTTCTGCTGGACTAGATTGAGCTTGACATGCATTTTCCGTGCGCTGCGCTCCTGCTGGAATTTCCATTCGTCACTGTGAAATAAATGCATTAGACAGTTTCTATGAGGGAAATCAAGGTAGTTGCTTGCCGCAAATAATTCTGAAGGCTGCCCAGGCCGCAATATTCGGTAAGCAGCATCATGCGATTGCTGCACCTGGTCGAGTAACCAACAATTCCCACAATATTCGGATGCCTGCCCACGGCGCGTAACATTTCGATTTCGCACTTGAATGCCTGCACATCTTCCTCATTGGGGTGATCTAGAAACAGAATCATTAAATAAACAGTTTGGTTTCTTAGGCTATTTTTCTTACCTTTGAGCAGCTTCACAGCCACCTGACGCTGTTTGTAGACACCACGACGCACTAGGCCAAACGCGCCCTCGCCTAGTACATCCTGCAGCAGCACAGCATGCGGGTCCACCTCCAGCTCATCATCCAGTTCAAAGTTATCCTCGGCAGCGAGCGTGGCTAACAGCCTGCTACTGTTGTTGTTGACCAAGGACAAGTGAAAGTCGCTTGACTGATTTGGAGCTGCCTTCAGCTCCTTCGTCTCCAGCTTCTGACACTCTTGTCGTTGCTTTTGCCTACGCAGCGACAGCCAACACAGGCCAAGTATCAAACACAGCGTTACAATAAATAGCACCATGAAGTTAATCTGCGTGCTTTCTGGAAAATAATAGAAATTATACAAACATGCATAACTCATTTATAATTGTTAACGAAACGTACCCAGCATCCAGAACTGCAAATCAATCTTATCTACGGGCAGTACTGTGGCATTCCGTCCGCCCTCTGTGTAGGCCACCAAATGCACCTCAAAACTGGCACCAAGTATAGTGATATTTGGTATATAATAATGATTAGCACTACCATCCACTATATACTTCATGTGATTGCTATTCACGTGCAGATCGAATATGTACAGCGTGTAGTTATCCGGCAATTGTCGTGGCCGAGCCCAACTAATATTCAGTGTCAATATATCCTGGTCGAAATGGGATTGTTGCACGCTAACATTGACGGGCTTCAGTGGAGCTGTAAGAGAGGAAGAAGCATTAATAAAAGACACCCGTTTAAAACGAATATATCCCGATAAACATATTTTACACAGTAGATCATTCATCTAAGGAATTTGGCCTTCTTTAACGGTTTTTTAGACTGCTTTCAACTATACAGATCATTTCAACTTACGACATAGGGTATAGTTGTAGTGGAACCAATCCAGGCAGCTGGGCACGTGGAGTACCAGCCATTGCAGTGAGCTCTCCAGCATGTTCATGATATTAACCGTGCGAATGCCCACCATGAACTGCTCGCCAAATTTCAAATTGGGTATCGTATAGCTGTAGAGGCTGCGAGGCTGTAAAAGTGAAAGACGGTTAAGGTTTGAGCATAAGCAAAATATAAACGTCAGAATATTTACGTCACGAAACTCGATGGGCGTGGGCGCGTCCATAATTTGACTGTCCTTCGAGAAGTAGATCATATCAAAGTAACAATTGCGCTCTGCAATCACAGATATCGAATATAAGATCATTTCAATTGTATAAGACTTCTGTATAAGACTTACCTGCGGATGGCTGCCATTCCACTTTTGCTGCAATGTGCTGCCTATCGCCGGGCTGCTCTTCGAATTCTTTCAGCCGAACGTTGCCCATCTTGCTCGGCTGGTAGCCGCGCTTCAGTGTCTGATAGCTCTCCTGGATGGCTATAAACGAATAGGCGCCATCGGCGTGCACAGCCAGCGCTGTAATATTATGCGCGGCAATTGCTTCCAGATCCCTTAAGGTAAAGAAACTATCATCGGACTGAAAGAGATTCAAGATTATACATAGATATTGGTAAGTGGGTGGCTCGAAACGCTCTACCTACCACATAGAAAGTCGATTCAAGATTAACGTCGTCGAAAATTCTGTCAAACCGAATGATAAACATGGCATCTGGCATAGCCTGTGTGGCATTATCGCGTGCATGCTGCACCCACTTGATGCGAAATGAGAGCTCCGACTCTGTGCGGCAAACGAGATTCAAGGAGAAGTTCTCCTGTATTTTGTGCGGAGTTGCGGGCATTAGATCCGTTCCATTTTCACTACAGTAACCGTAACAGCTTGAAAAATTCTGCGAAAGAGAACGAAAGAGGGAGAGAGAGAGAGAGAGAGAGAGAGAAAGATTTATAGAGCATGATCTTGAGTTACGCTCAATTGGTGTCACCTTATTTGGTATTGTGAGCAGGCAGCGCTTGGTGCAGGCGGTCACATTCAGCAGCAGCTCCTCCTTGGAGAGCTCACGCATGAGTATCAAATCGCCCTGATTGTCGTCTATGAGCAGCCAGAAGAGAAATGCATATTTTGCATAGAACAGCAGCATTGTATTTTTGTATTTTTTTAATTATTTGATTTCTTTCTTATGTCTCTTCTTGCGCGCTTCGCTTTACAACAGTTGAACTTGCGGTTCTTATTGTTTATTTTACAGTTCGTTCTGCTCTTGGCTGTGGCGCTGCACTAGTTCCACTATTATTCAAATTTCCTTGTGGAATTGCCGCTCTGCACTAGTTCCAACCTTCGCCTACGACTGAGCCGTGCAAACTGAAGTCGAGCCATGGCGAGCGGACAGGAAGAATTGCTGCAAAGTCGCAAAAGAAAAGAAAAAAAAAAATGGAATTCTGTTTTCATTTCTTCTCTGTTTTGTTTCAACTTTGTGTTTCATGTGCGTTATAGAAACGTACGAACGGATGGACAGACGGACGGTCACGCTAGCCATATCATTTGTAATGCAAAAATCCAACTCAGTTTTCGACAATGGGGCGCCAAAGCGGATTGGAGAAATGCAGAACGCAACATATAAACGAGAATGCTCCAAACGAGAGTGCTTAACAACAAATACCCTTCGATTATGGCGGTGATCAGCCGTTAGTTCTGAATTATGTGCATACTTATGTATGTGTGTAGGGATTTATGCGGGTGGGCATATACATATGCATATATGAAGTTTTCGCTCAAATCTATTATATGCTCAAGTTCTCTGCTTCTGCTCATAGATCTATCAAGCTGTTATACTCTTCCCACGCATTTTCGCTTCACGCAGTGCAAAACTTGAGAGCAATTTTTTTGATCAAATTTAGTGGCAATACACAAAAGAAAATTAAACTTTTATTCTTTCTCTTAGCTGATGGCAACGGGTATAAACCGTAGACTGCATGTGCATGCCTGCATAGATTTCAAGCGTATAAAAAAATCATAGAATTTTTATTTCTTGTTCTAAGAGATAAGCCAATTGTAGTCCATTTGAAACTATTAATCTAAACTTTCATCTTATAATACTTAAATTTACATACTATATTTACCACTAAAAATTATGCATATGTCACCACTAAAGCTATAGCTATAAAAATTATATTTTCAGATTATTAAACTTACAATTTTATTTCATTTTTAATGCACTATATGGAACACTTTCAATAAAATGAAAAAATTTTTCTTATGTAAAATTCAGTATAAATTGACACAAAGGGCAACAGTATTCAATTGGACCTTCGACGGGAAGACGGTGCCCAGGAATTCGAGAAGCACTGGCTGCTTGCGTACTATTTCGGCATATTCGTCAAAGGATATTTGCAAATCCTTATCGAGATCAAATTTGATAAATATCAATTCCAGCATGTCCTGCAAGCAGTATAAATAAATATACAGTAGTCATTTATATTATATCATTGACTTACCGTGCGCATTTCAATCTGCTCATCCTCATCTTCCCCGACAAAGAATTTCTCAACGAACCGCATCACATGCTCACGATTCAAATAGCCAAGACGATTCTCATCATAAATCTGGAAACGAATATAGAAAAAGTTAAGTAGAATACGGATTTATAAGAACTGTTATACAAACGCTATAGACAAATATCATGCGCTCCTCAAGATCGCTTGCGAAATAGGTGGTAAACATTTTCACAAACGATGGCAGTGTACAATGACGATCCTGTGAGAATTTTGGATCTGTACATTCTGGATCGTCGCTAACAACAGCCACAACACGACCATTAATGTCAGTGTCGGTAACCCGAAACATTTGCATTATGAAATTCCCCAATTGCCTGTGCGTCATATATTTGGCTTTTGGTCCATTCGAGAGTACAAACTTATGATAGATCATCGCGAGGCACAGCAACTCAGTTTCTGAGAACGGAGACTCCACATGGGTGACTATACTGCCATAGATGAAGTTAAAGCGCGCATTTTCCATACAATCCAGTGTCAGATCAAGATCCTTCATTTTGTCTGGTTAACGTATTACTTTTCGCTGAATGTGTTTTCGGAATGTGTACAAAAGTATAAAAATACAAATAGTATTCGGCACTCGTATACTGACGATCTACTTCCTACTGAGCCATAGGTTTTATCGTAATTGTAGGCATAGTTTGGAATGCCCAAAGCTTACTTGGTTTGTCTTTATCGGTTTAGTATAAAGTTAATTAAGATACCATATTCCACCTTAAATTACAATTGAAACACATCTATTGTTTTATGTATTTTCTTTAACTAATTGTTTAATTGTCCTTTGCTTGAATTAATGTCATTTAGTAGTAAGCTAAAGCAAAGTTACAGGGTATTACAGCGCTATACAACACAAAGTGTACAACAGGGTACATATACGAGCGTGTGTATTAGTGTGTCTGTGTGTGTAGGGGGAGTATACCTTAGCAATGTACCTTAAAAGACAATCGTGTTTAGCTTACAAAAAATGTAATCTTAATCGAGTACACGACAGCTATATAAAAAGTTTATATATATATATTTTTATATATATTAAATGTATGCACACAAACAACATACAAAATACAACTACATAGATGTACAATTATCGTATAAGTATTTATATATAAAATTAAAAAAAAAAATACATATGTGTATACACATACATATATTATAATTAATATGAAATTATAAACTTAACATAGCTGCTTGATGGGTCTCAAAGAGAGGTTCTAATACAGTGGCAAAAATAGAATACTGACTGGGATCGGATGTGGGATTACTGCCATGCGAGAATGTGGTAAAAACTTATGCTGAAATTTGCTTAATTGATTCATCGAGTTTGAGTATTTTGCGTGTTTGTTGCGACACAACCGCTTGTGAAATTCATATTCATAATACATAATAATAATAATAATAATAATACTAATATCAAAAGAAATGCAAATGTTTGTTTCTTGTTGGTTGCTAGGTTTGGTTGTCTGTCAAATCAAATCGGAAAAACGAAGAGAACAGTCCATTCGAGTCATGTCTGTGGCAACGAGAGTATATTCGCATATGAATACGTATTCATATTTCTATATATCTATATATATTCATGGATTAGTCTGAGTTTGTCTTTTGAGACAGTTTTTCTTCTTCGGAGAGTCGGCTACATTTTGCTAAACGCATTTCAAGCTAGTTCCACTTGTCGCCCACTAAATGCTGGCAATGCGTATTATTTGTGAGTGTGTGTGCTCGTAGTGTGTGTGTGTGTGTGTGTGTGCAACTACTAGTTGTAAGTCAAGGAATTGGCATTGAGCGCCAGCGCTGCTTCCGTGCTGCTGCTGCTTGACGATGTCGATGCCTGCGGCTGTGGCTGATTCGTTCCACTCTCCAGATGCACATTATTATAGTCCGTTTTCGCATTGCAGCGCATGCCATGGGGCACGGGTAGTGGTGGTGGTGGCTGTTCCGCCAGCTGCTGTGGCTGTTGCTGCGGCTCCACCTCGCCATTGCCATTGTGGGCGTTGCTATTGAGATTGTAAACAGAGAGTCGCGCCTCATGCTCACGCCGCTGTTGACGCAATCGTATATCGTGCTCCTCGCGCATATGCCGCAACTTGAGGTCCTGCTCCTGGCGATAGTACGACAGCTTGAGTTCCTGCTCCATTTGCTCGAAGCGTAGCTTCTGCTCATGCTCACGTCGTGCATAGTCAATCTCGGCTAGGCGCGCCTGTTTCAGTAGCTTAAACAGCTGTTGTTTGTATTTCTCCTCCATGTCCAGGCAGCTCATGGCGCCCTCATTGGACGACGTCGCTGCTGCAGCCGCAGCTGCTATTGGTGTATATTGCGAGCCAACTGCAGTGCCGCTGGCCGCAGGCAGCTCATCCTCGGAGAGCAATGATTGAGCTTGTGAGTGCTGTGAATGGGAGAGAGAAAGTATATTAAATACGAACTAATTTATATATGTGTACTGAATCTACTCACCTTGCGCTGTCGTCTTTTGCGTATTGGTGAAGTCTTCTCGTTGTCATTGTCCTGTGTTGCTGCACCGTTGCCTGTGTCTGGGTCCTCTTTTAAGTTTAGCAACCCTTTGGCTTTGACCCGTTTGCGTCGTTGATTGGACGCCGATTGCAGTGGATTAGATGCGCTCTCCTGCTGCGAGTCGCCGCCAGCGGTGGAGGGCGGTGGTGAGGGTATGGCCATGGTTGATGTCTGTAGCGTATCCTCGCTGGCATTTGTGGAATTCGGCAATGCGGCCAGCGGCATATCCTCATCCTCGTCCAGTTCGAGTAGCTCTTTTTTGAGCGCACCGTTGGTGCCACTGCGCGTTTGACTGCGCGACGACACCGGATCCTTTTGTAGCTCCTCCATAAACTCTATCATGCGCATGCCCTCTAGCGCCTCCGACTTGGGTTGCTTTTGCTGATGTTCACGCTTCGCCGAATTCTTCATGCTGCGCCATTGCACTTGGATCTGTTCGAGCAGTCGATGGCGAAAGTTCAGCGCATTGAATCTGTGGAAATGCATAATTAATTGATTGAAATGCGTAAATATAATTCTATCTACACTTACTGTTTGGTTATTTGCGACCAGGCCAGTCTCTTGGCCTTGATGCTTTTTGCATCAACGCTCCGATTCTCAACGTATGCGACTTTTGTTTTGATCACTTCTAATAGGAGGCCGCGCTCTGCCTCTTCCCAATTAAGCGAACGTTTTTTGCGTGTGCCTTTTTTCTTGCCCGTTGCGCTTTCTTTTTCAGCAGACTCCTCGGCAGCATCTTCAGCATTCTCCACCCCCTCATCAGAGGCATTTGTAGCTTTTGTTTTCGACTCCGCCTTTTCATCGTCGTCGTCGTCTTCTTGCGGCGACGGTGCACCCTTTGTCAAGAGCTCCTCCAGTTTCATTACGATTTGGAATTTTTATTGTTTATGTATTGATTTTATTGTTGTTATTATTGTTATTTAAGCGCGTTTCCGATTTGCAAAAAATTCTTATTTGATTTCTGTATATACTTCGCAACGGCGTTGCCACCGCGATTAAGTGCAGCGAGAGTGGCAGCATGCAACATCGGGGTACCGATACTATCGATATTTATAGGTACATCACTGTGCACTTAGTGTGCTCTGATTCCTATCGATACATTGTCGTACTCATACTCAAGTATCGAGCAAAGTAAGTAGCAGGCTGGAAAATATAATCTCATTGGCAAATTATATATTTTTATCACACACGTAACTTAGCGAGATGGCTTTTGGTGACTATCCAGCTGAGTATAACCCAAAGACGCATGGACCTTACGATCCAGCACGCTACTATGGCAAAGGTAAGCCAATTCGCGAAATTACGTAATTTTCTGCCGCCCGACATTGCGGCTTATACCATACTTTTTTCTTCCATTTTATGTAATGGTTTTTTATTTCTTTTTACAATCACAGCTGATGTGCCTTTCGGCCAAGTGAAATTGGGCGAGTTGGGCGCCTGGTTTGGACGTCGCAACAAGAGTCCATCAGCCATCGCTGGCGCTGTCAGCCGTGCCTGGTGGCGTTGGCAGCACAAGTATGTGTTCCCGAAGCGTGCTGGCATTGCACCCTTCTTCCAGTTGACCGTCGCCAGCATGGCGTTCTTCTATATCATCAACTACCCCAAGTTGAAGCACCACAGGAACTACAAGTACCACTAAACGGTACATCTCGTTTAAGCTCTTCAGTGTACACTTTGTTATTAAAACTTTTTTCATTTATTGTTGCCATTCAGTAAAGTGAAGAGAGTTCGAACACAACCACAACACAATACAATACAATTGATGTTTTGAACACGGCTGATTCTAATAAAAAAAATTCTGCGAATAACTGTGCTGCATCAAATAACCGTAAACTTCATTTTCGAGCAGTGGTAAACCATAATTAATATATTGTTTTTAATTGTGTTCATCGATGTGAACCAGTGTCTCGTTGGAAGGCTCGGTTTGTGAAACTGGTTAAACTGCAAACCAAGTGTTCATTTATCAAAATGATTTATAGTTTTCAAATCGATCCTCAATCGAAATTAGTTGTAAATCACAAATCTACTTGATTGATATTAAACTAATTTTTGTTTCAAACTCATATAAAGCATAGCTAGAACTAGCACCATAAAATTTGGCTGAGGCCAGACAAAGGAATCTAGGCGTTTACTACTTTCTAAAATTTAATTCAATAATTAAATAACTTTCATTTTAGACTCAATTTCTCGCTTTGTCAGTAACACCCATCCGCTGCATTTGCTCCCGTGTCCAACTGCCTGGTTGTATTGTCTTTCGGAGGCGTAAAAATCTCGCAGATGAAGGGCAGCTCACGATCACAGCACAACGTTTGCCAAGTGCTGTTTGGTGTCAGAGCCACGCAGCTAGCATTGGCTTGGCTGCCGCTATAATGGATGCCTGACTACTATTCATGCATCTATGTATTTCAAGACAGTCTCACTTACCCTATACGCGGATGACCCACATGCCAGGCGCGATATAGAAAGCACAGCAGGCTCTCTTGCTGCGCATTGCGATAGTCGAGCGGCTGCAGGGACTTGCTGATATTAAATTGCAAGTCCACATAGGCCAGAAAGATGCCTGGCTCTGGTTTCTCGCCCACGCGCTGTCTATTATAATTCACCAGCCACTGAGATAGTCCATAGGTGCGCGCCTCGGAGGCCACATGGGCTAGGCTTCCACTAAACTCGCTGGCATTGCTGCAACTGGTGGAGGCATTCAAATAGTTTGCGGGCTGGGTATAGAAGACAAACAGACCCACTTGTTCAATGCAGCTAATGTTGTGCAGCGCTACGGGAAACCAATGATTAGATTTTAGATTTATTGTAATCGCTGGCCCATTCACCTGTGGGCCTGCCGTATAAGCTGTAGTAGTCGAAGCGACTATCGTTTGTCATGCCCGCAAAGCTCGTATTTTGCGGACACGCCAGAACATGACAGTTGAAGTACTCTGCGGGCTGCTCGAAAACACTCAAACGATTCCGCGCATCCTTTTGCCGCCTCCTGCTTGTCGAATCTCTAGGCTGTGTCTCAAAATAATTTTTGCGTCGCCCAGGTCCACCCGGTGCAAAGTTTAAGGCCAAGCCACGCAGCTCACGTGCCAGCGCCATGCATTCTTCCAGAGTACCTGTGCTCTCAAGAGCAAGTGCGTCCGTCGTAGCAGCGCGTTGGCATTGCCGCACCAGATGAAACTGCAAAGGAGCAGGATTTGACTTGGGGCAGCGCAGAGCAAGCAAAGGCGAAATGTTTAACAACAGCAACCACATGGCTTACTGCAGCAACCTACAGATCTGGCATATATATATATCCATTATATTTATGCATTCATCTCTCTGACAGCATTGATAAAAGTTTTATGGTCAATTTAATTTTTATTGTTCATTTGAATAGTTTCTACTTTTAGCTTAGTTCTAGTCTTTTTATTTAAAATAATACAGTAAAAGCTCGCTTCAACGAACTAGGCAGGCAGATGTTTGCTTAAAACTTAAATACGCATAAGTACATGCATTCCATAATTTTTACATATTTTAATAATTTAATATGCGAACTTAAATACATTTCAATGGTAAATTAAAATATTTTTATTATAACACTTTTGGCATTCACTAATTTTATTTGTTCGCTTGGTAAATATTTGTTCGAAAAGGCGAAAGTAAATATGAATATTCAATCTTTAAGTTAGTTGTCCGTTTAGCAGAGTTTTCACTGTATCTGTGTGTTTTGTATATTTTATGGAAAATGTTAGCATTGCACAGCTCCAGACGAGCGTTCTAAAAATTATAAAATTCAATGCTCAAATGAAGCTGTGCAAGGACTTGGCTTAAATACTTTGACAATTATTACAATTTATAATTAATATATATATATATATATTATTTTCTTTTTGTGAAGAGGCTGCACGCTTATAGTACGTAGTAGTATTTATTAAATATTGTAGTGCAAAATAGTTTAAACAATGACAAGAAAAAATTGTATAGAACATTAAACTAAGTACAAAGGCAGATTTATTGGAACTTAGTTTCCTCTTTTGTTTGTTTTTGCTTTTTGTGTTTTTTAAATAAATTTAAAGTACAAATACAAATATCACCTGAGCGTCGGCTGCTGCATTCGTTGTTAGTTCGAGTTTTTTTAAATTAAGCGAGTTAAATAGTAAGATAAATACAATATTCATATAATTATAAAGTTTAATGACTGCACTACAAGAGAGAACGAGGAGTGTGCGTTTGACTCTGATAAGAATCTAAGTGGAATCCAACCGACACCAACACGTGAGTTCGTGCTTTAACAGAGCTACCGAAATGCAGTGCTGCCCATGTTATATACTTAAACAGTGGCAGCACTGTACAACTCACTCTGTGACATTAGCGGGCAATTAGCAAATAACGGGGAAATTGCCCGGTAATCTCTGCACAGGGAAATTTCATTTTGTTTTGTTTTCCTTTCATGCAAAACCTAATTATTTGTTTGTATATTATTATTAAATTAAAAACTTGTGACCTTACAGACTAAAACTGCATTTGACTACCGCAGGCGGCTCTTGCTCTTCTTCAATGCTGGCATTTAGCTTGATTTTCAATATTTTAAAGTTTTCTTTTTAAACACTTTGAGTGTTCCATTATTGAGTTTTGGAAATATTTGCGAAAGTTTTTGATTTTCTTTTCTTTTTTTTCTTTCAATTTTTGTTTTTCACATTTTAGCTGCTGTGCGAGAAGGCGGTGTTTGTGTAGGGTCCACTGTAAATGGAGCTGCCCGAGTTGGAAACCGTCTTCGTGCTGCGGCGTGCCATAATGCACAGCACGGCGGCCACCACGGCCAGCATCAAAATGAGTCCAGCAATGGCGATGGCTATGGCAAAGGTGCGCTGCGACACGCACAGAGCATCCTCCAGGGTCTGTGATGGAGGAGAACAGAAAAAAGAAGCATTTAAATAAAAGAAATGCGTAAAAGCAAATAAATTTATCCAGCTATATTTACATATATCCAACTCATACATTTATCGAACTACCCTCGCTTTGGTGCAAGTATAAATTCTACTCACCTTCTCCTTGTACACAGCATCCTCGTCGCTATCGTTGGCATTCTCGTTCTCATTGACATAGAGGCCAGAGAAGACCTCGATGGTAGCGGGCAGCGCTTCGTCGTCTTTGCCGTCGGCCGTTGTCTGTCGCTTGGGTCGTTTGCCCGTGCAGACAGGCGCCTCCTGGCAGCTGGGATCTTGCAGAGCGCACAGACGTACATTGCACTGATAGTACACGGAGGTGGTGTAGGGGAATTTGTGGGCCGGGAAGGTAACGTTGGCAGCCAGACGATCTGCCGTATAGTTGAATTGACCCATGATCTCGTTGTCCATGGGACAGCTGAAGCAAAAGAGAGAGAGAGAATACTTGAGCAATGCGCTACCATTTCCATACCATATACCGTTTGACTTACCCATCTTCGCCCACCAGTCGCTGCTCGCCCCAGCCCAAGCCATCACGAACAATGCAATCCGTTACGTGCAGGCCGTAGAGCTCCTGCTTGTCGATGCTGATGACAATGGTCAGCGGATCGCCGATTTTCACATCGTCGGCGATTTTGTGCTGGTCGTTGTAGATCTTCATGTGGCAGCCGGGCATGGGCAGCTCGTTGTTATCAGTCGCATCCACATCGTAAACATCATCATCATCATCCTCCAGCTCGTCAAGCTGCTGTTTGTCCAACGAGCGGCCATAGTCGCGTCTGTCGTGCTCATCGCTGCGATAGGCCTGTGGCTTATGGACGACCTTATGCTTCTTGGGCTTGACGGCAGCGTCGCGGCTCATGTAGGCACAGCGCACATGGTAGCCGCGTCCCAGATCCGTTATCAGCTTCAAGTGCGGCTGCAGCACAATTGTGTTGAAGAACTCGATGCCGCCATCGTCCTGAAACGAGCAAAAGCAAAGCGGAAAAATACGTGAATGAAATGACTTGGGCAACAAACTTGCAAAAGACTTTGGCAACAAACTTGGCCCAGCATGCAAGTCGAATCTTTGACGGCTCGTTAGCGCTCAAGCATTTCCTCAAGCTACTCCTCTTTTATGCGCTTCTCCTATAGAATGGTGCTAGCAAAACAAAAGACTTGGGCAACAAACTTGCCACAGCATGCAATGTAAGCTGAAATTAAATGCTGTCTTTGAAGCCATATGAGCGCAGCTTCGATTTGCCCCACTGTACACACAATGGGCCTGCTGCAGTGTCTCATTATGCATATGGTTTGTAGCTGGAGAGATTCACGCCTCGCTGCCTCTGAAAATTGCCAGCACGAAATTTGATGTGCGACGAGGTCGTCGTCGTTAGATCACGAGCACTTCCTCAAGTCTACCTATCTATATAGACTTCTGCTGCTTCTTTGTGTTTTGTAGAATTGTGCTAAAGCTCGTGCAGCCAAGTGTGAAGCCCGCCCTTATCTCCATATCCGCACAAATTAGCAATGTTTGCGTAATGAATTTTCATTTCGGTTCAGCTTAGTTTACTTTTTACCCCAAGTTCTGGCTGAAGCAATCAATCTGCTGTGAGCGTCTGCTGATGTCTGTTGCTTGTTGTACATCCGCTGCATTGCATCATTGCTCATCTTCAGACCGACATTCTACTGCCCACTTGCCCCTATATCATTTAATATCATCCACGGGCCGAGGCACATTTACTTAGCTTTTCGTTTTTTTTTTTTTCTCTTTCTTTCACATTCTATTTTCTACACGCATAACGGTAATTGCGCTTGTGCTAATTTTGCTGGCAGGCAGCAATAATAACAACAACAAAAGATACAATAACACATACTCCACACTATCGCACGTCTATTAGAGATGATCGCGTGTCAAAGTCTGAGTTGCATCAACTGCATAATACTCAAAATACGATATAGTTTATATAAATTAAGAAATGTCTATGGAGTCGCCGATGTTTGAGGTTAGCTACATAGCTTTGAGAACCGAGATCTTTTTAAAAGATTATTTATAAGTATTTGAAGTCCCGTCTCTCTAGTTGGTTTATGTTACTGTATATATCGGATATAATATATATATTTCCCCTTCATATATTTTTCCATATATCAAATTGTGCTTTAGTACCCACTCGTCCGCCCATCTCTAAGATATATATTTTCGTTAGACTCTTCAGCCATCAATTGCTCGCGTGGTTGCTGGCAATTGTATTTGGGTCTCGCTGTACGTGCCGCATTCGGAAGTCTTTGATAATTGGGTCTGTCTACAGATTTGGGCACGGAAATGCTTTTTGAGTGGCTGCGACGTCACCCAAAAGGGCCAAACGCATAAATATCAAAGTGGGAAGCTATTTCCCTGACGTGCGAGCCCCAGGGCTAACAAGCAACGACAGAACGTCATAAATGTTTGACAGTTATGTGAGCGAACTGAGTTCCCAGCAGCCCAGAAAGAATGAGCGAGCAGAGACAATGGAGGCCAATAAGATGGGCTGTAATAAAATGACATTTAAGATTTGAAGAGCACATAACGGTAGATGGAAGCAGGCAGCTATTATGTCATTATGACACTTCTGAGCGACAGTTCTCAAACTGGTTTAGAATATCGGAGAAGAGACAGCAGCGACGACTGCTGCTCAGATATGTTAATGGGCGATTTAAAGAAATGCACAACTTAGTCGCAACGCAATGCGTTAAGCGTATGTTACGTGACTGCGGGCTGCGTGGGCAGCGACCTTCGCTCCAGTCGAACAGCAGCTAAAAGTCAATTTCATAAATAAAATATCAATAACAATAAGAGAAGCATGTTTACATGGCTTACACACGCACACACACACATATATATACACGGTTTTTGGCATTTTTCATGGTCGGCCGTTGAACGTTGACCAAATGGCCGCCAACGTCGCCTCGAGACTATAAAAGATGCGCTGCGCACTGCACAGAACAAATCGATTTTGTTTAGCCTGAAGAGCATAAGCCGATTCACACGAAAGACTTAGGCAACAAACTTGATGCTACTGCTGCTGCTGCTGTTCACACTATTCGCGGTCTGATTCGAATTTAATTTGGAAAATGTTGCTTATCAATGCCTCGCATGGTTTACAAGTTCTGAATATTGTTTTTTTTTTACTCGCTGTTCACAGTAATTATAATTTAATTAAAGCGCCCTTCACATTTGTTTCTCTGTCTCTTTCTCTCTTGCTCGCCTATAGCTGACCCGGCATGCCACAGTTAAGGCAGCAATAAAACAATTAATAAAGAATTGACTTGACAGACAGAGGGCTACTCGGTAGGCAGGTTAATGAGTCTAGCTTATATTGAACTGAACGACAGGCAGTAGAGTGTATATATTGAATATAATTGAACCTCAGCTCATACCCTATACTATAAATAATATGCGGTATAACTGATGTGAGCTATTCGAAATGACGATTATTCAAAAAGGGATATTATCGAATATTAAAAATTTGATTTTTCTCAATTCAATGAAAATGGCAAAAGTTTTTAATGACCTAAAGAAATTACTTGCAATTATAAGCCTAGCTAAAAATGGATATTAAATCGATACATTACAAAGCTGTCGCTCCTAAGAAGGATATACATATATTCCAATTTATCTAAGGCCATACAAAACAGCTAATTGAAAACTTTTATGAATATATTTTAAAAGTAAAAAATCAAAACAAACAAAAAACAGCGTTTATAACTAAAATATTCATAGCTTATTTAATTGTGCTTGGCATGCACAACAACAAGTCTAATAAAAACAGCAACAACAACAACAACAGCATCTACAACATCTACTACCTTAGTCACAGCAATAACAACAGGGTCGTTGTGAAGCCTCGCTTGGAAGTCAATGGCGTGGCAACGTTTGTTATTTTTTTATTTGTTATTTTTCGCGGCAGTTGACACGCGACTTTTTACATAAATAAAAAGTTGATGCCATAAATGTGCAGGCAGTTATGCTAGTCTATGTGTGTGTGTATAGGTCTTTTCATTTGAATTGTATGCAAATGTGCATTGTGCTGAGTTCATCTGCCGCGCTGACGTAAGCCCAGCATCCTGCCTCAGTCAGCAGTCGACTGGCCACAGAGATGACATCAACAAAGAGAGAAAACTGCAGGTAACTTCACCTGGCCTTTATTGATTTTGCACTTAGCTTATGTTTTTTCATTTAATTGCTATTTAAATTACATAGTTATTTATTTAGCGCTTCAACGGCGACAGAGACTGTCCAAAACAAATGACTGAGACAACAAACTTGGCTGCGAAATTCTGGTACAGAGTGCGTGCAAAAAGTCTACAAACACGCCCGATTGCCACACTGATCGGCAATTATTTCAACGATTTGTGTCAGGCCAATCGAGCGAAAGGCAAAAGCAACAAATTACAAAACTCTTTAGCTTTGGGAAATTACATTAAAAACAAGAAATGTAACACAGTAACAGCCGCGTGCGTGTGTGTTGGCCATAAATACATATATATGTGTGCCCAGGTGCTAATTGAGATTTCAAAATATATACACAAACATATGTATATCCAGCCATCTATATGAGCTTCATGCGTCTGTAAACGCTCGTAAATCGATGCTATGAGCCAATAAATAAGCCACGCCATAAAAGCATCATTCAACATCTAGCCAGCATCAACAACAATATAATATCAACAATATATATCTATGAGCCGTAATACCCAAGCTAACTTAAAAATTTATATCACAATTTATTGACCATTTCGGGTCATTTGATATTTGGCCATGCATATGGGATTGGGTTAACTGGACTCATCGACTTATCTCACAAGTTTTTATCCAAGTCAATTTGTTTAGTTATAATAAAAAATTAAATTGTGCTAAATCTCGTTTAAGATAAGACTAAAGGTTTTTGTTTTTTTCAAAGTAAGTTGTTTTTGCTTTTCTGTTTAGCGAGCTATTCGAATTTTGTATATCTGGTCTTAAGAGGATATATAAGAGAGAGGGGAGATAAAAGAATCAGATAGAAATGCAAAGAGAGAGATAGAGAGAGTGAGTCTGTGAGAGAAATAGAGATATGGATCGAAATATAGAAGAGATATTGAGAGAGACACAGGCATATGTATATATAACGAGACAGATAAATATTTATAAGCATGAGAGTCAGATAAAAGGGGAACAATAGAGTTCAAGAGAGTTCAAAATAGATTGAGAGAGAAAGATATAATGAATAAAGCGCTTTGGAGGGGAAAAGCGGAGAGAGTCTCATCATTTGCCGTCTTCATTGCATTCTAATTGACCTCTACATACTACATGGTTAACTCTCCAATTGAGCTGCAGTTGTGGCAACGCTTCGCCATCCGTATAGCAATTACGGTGCGCCGGCTGCCACCTCCCATTCAATTGTCAACGAGTTGATGATGCACCTTAATAAGCGTGTCATTAGCTGAATGCCAAAGAGCCACAAGCACTCAGTCAGCTTGATTCAATCAGCGCCAAGTTCGTCGGCTAATCAAGTTGGCATATGGATGGGTCACCTTGTAACCAATCTCTGTCAGCTAATGTGCCTTATAAGCACTTAATGGCGTTTCGCACAGTTCAAAAACTCAATTAGCATGTCGCAAAAGGCAAGACAACCACATGCTAGCATCTCATAAAATGTTGACATAAATCGCGCAACTTATGTGGGTGCCTAGATTTTATGAGCTGGACTGGACTGGACAAGACTTACCCGCTCCTTGGGCATCGTGTTGCAGCTGCGCAGCGGCAATCTGTAGCGCAGCGCACCAATGTGATCTCTGCAAAGAAAATGAAGAAGATGAGATATTGATGATGATGTCTATCTAAGCTGTATGGCACACACACACATGCACACGCACACGCACACGCATAGTCCACTCACCTGTATTCGCTGAGGCATGAGGAGTTCTTGGAGAGGCCTTTCGGGTAGATCATGCCGCTGAACAGGCCCGTCTCATGATTGGGTGGCGCATCTTTGATCGTGATCAGCATGGAGCCCGACTGGCACTGCACACGTACATTGGGCGCAACGCTGCCTGGCTTCGCCGTGGGCGTGGCATCCTGAGCAGCGGCTTCCGCCTCGGCAGCGGCAATGGCAGCGTTTAGCGTGCCAGGCGCATCCTCTGCAAAGTAAAAGAGGGGGGATTCGATTATGAAATATTTGCGAATTTACAGTTAGAAAAGACAAACTACAGTTAGACAATAACAATATCGAAAAGACAAAGCGAAAGCCAAAGGCAGAGCCAGAGTCAAAGTCAGAGCCAGAGCCAAAGGCGAAGGCAAAGCTCAAACGCAAGCTGAGGATGCGGCTGAACTCGGGCCATTCGCATAAATCATCAGCGATACACGAGACAGTAAAAGAAAATAGTGGAAGATGTTGAGTGACCAGGAGATACCCTGTAAGCCATATGGGATATATACATATTGATTTTGTGGAATAAATATTCTATTTGTAACATATTTTAGTTCATAAAAATCTAAACATTAAGAAATACCCTGTAAGCTTATATAAATCTAGGGCATATATCACTATATATTATCATATTATATTACTATATTATAGTTCATATAAATCTAGATATCTTGTAGCATTTATATCTCTTGTATGTATAAATTATAGCGTTGGTCACATTTGCAATCCGTACAGGGTATTTGCGAAAAACAATGGCATTTATAAGACGCCCCTGGGAGCAGCAACAGCCATTGAAGCCGAAGCTGAGCTGAGCTACAGCTGGCAACTGCGGAAGCAAAAATGCTGCGACAAACATGAAAAACTCTGGCCAAGTTAATGACATTGAAAAGCCATTCAAAGAGCAGCAGCAGCAGTAACAACAACAACAACAGCAGCAGCAGCAGCAGCAGCTGGCATTAGAGAGCTGCCAGTTCCTTGAACTTGTGTATTGCAGTCAGAACCTTTCCTGATGCTTGGTAATTGCTGAGCCCAGAAACCAAGTAAACTGACTAGCTACAGAGCTATATAAGCTAATATGTATAGTATATATAAATAGTATATAGAAATAGGTGTGTATTTGTGTGTGTGTGCACAACACCTCGCGTGCGATGCGCCTGCAGCTAGATTCACATTCTTTTCTTTTTTTTTTTTTTTTGCACTGCTTTTTTGCTATGATTCTGACTCTGGCTTGCTCTTGACTGGAAAACTTGGCCCAAGTGGAGTGGATTGGTGAATGCGAGTGGAGGGGGCTCCTAGGCGGTTCTCCTAAGATGGCGTTGCTTTGGTTTAGTTCAACGAACCCTCCAGCAATTCGCATCAGTTAGCTGGCTTCTATGCCTATTCTACAGCACATGCTGCTGGGCCAAGTAATTGCATGCAGCTCGAAAGCCGGTTTTCTGCTCTTGCTCTCTGCTGCCCCAAAGTCAGCTTAGTTGTTCGCTTTGTTGCTGTTGTAAGTGCTTAATGTTGATTCATATTATGTAGAGTTTAGTCAAATGCAGCCACGAAATGGAGCACAGTTAAGCCCTTTCTTTACGGCTTGGCTCAACAGAAATTTCTTTTATATAACATTTTGTATTCCATTATATAGCAAGCTTTTCGTCTTGACAAATTTCCTAAAGTCTCTTGACAATAGTCGAAATACAAATTTTTCTTACATTTATATCTGAGAAATCTTAAGTTTGCTTTTATTTGTTTTTCCTGAACATTTATTACAATAATTTTTTATATTTATCAAATTTTAAGTTATTTTATGTACTTTTTGTTTAAATGGAAGATTCTGTTATTATCGAAGATGTCATTGAACAGCCAAGCACAGCGGACTGCTCGGTTGACCCTCCTGCACCGCCTGCGCAACCTGCACCACCTGCATCAGCTCCACCACCTGCATCATCTTCGCTCCCGGACTTGCAGATGTCGTCGGCTCACATTCAACTGAGCGCCGAATCGTCTGACGAGCCCACTCTGGAGGTGCTTTGGAATCCGTCAACGCTGATCGACCTGGAGTCCGAAGAGTACGAATTGATTAGACTGCAGTCGAGCACCGAACTAAAGCCGAACGGATGCAATAGCTCGAAAAGCTTTACTGCAGAGATGTTGGAGCTGCATGAACTCATCAACGAGCAATTTCCATTATCAGAGACGTCGGAGGATAAGGTAAATGCCTATTATATAATTGGCATAGCTGGGTTTAATAATTCCCATAAATCCTCGCACTCTTTCAGGTAGTAAGCCTTGAAAGTAGTTCGGATAGTAGGATGACAAAGACTTTCATCAACCAAATGGACATCAAGTCAACCTTCCAGCCGTGCTCTAGCGAGGATTCGGGCCCAGACTCGGGAATAACATATAATTCGCAAGCGAATAGGTATGATTCATCTCTCCTTTCTCTTCTCTTTCGATTTGTTCTTATCTTATTTAAATTTCTTCTTTTTTCTCCTCTCTTTCACCTCTTTCGTCTCTGTCAACTGCTCTATTCACCACTTTGAAAAGAGAACAGTTACATCTTTTTCATCTGCTTTCTATTCTGTTCACTATTCTTCTCATCTCATACAAATCCTATTCTTCTCTGTCTACTGTTCTCATCTCTCGTATCCTTCCTGATCCCACTTAGTCGCGTTAACTCCGAAGAGAGGCTGCCCCTAAGGGCATCTCATCTAAATGAGAATTTCAGACTAATTCCTTTGATTGATATGAGCGATGACATACATTATGACAGGAAGGAGCCCGAGCGGCCTTGTTATAAAGATCAGTTGGAGCCAATACTGAAGGCTGGCCTTAAATGGGATGTTAAGGTGTTTGTGGGGATATATAAGTTCTATTGCTTTCAGTGCGTGCTGGAAGTCTATTCCCCCTACTTTCGACGCCCAAAATTGGAAGATGTGGTGCAATTGCCATCACATAAGGTCACGCCGCGGGCCTTTCACACCATCTACTATTGGATGCTGCACGAAAAGTTGCAGCCTCATAAACGCTACAGCAATCGCTACTTGCTGGAAATCTATAGTTCGGCCAAATATTTAGGCATCCCGGAGATAATCGAAGCCGTCTGGAATAACCTGGACATTATTAAGAATGAGAACGAGGCCTTCACCCTGATGCCCGACCTGAACTACATGGATTTGACGAACTTTGAGTTTCTCTGCTACGCACGCATCAGTCGCTTCTTTCTGACGCTTGTCGCATCGCACGAGTTCATCGAAATGGAACTCTACAATGTCAAGCGACTCCTTTCCAATCACAATGCTGGCGTCAACAGTGAGATTGAGGTGAGCTATTATGATTTTGCTACCTTTATTTCTACTCCTTTTCCCACTCCTATTCCTACTCCCACCCCTTCTATTTCTCCTCCTACTATTCCTACTCCTCTTACTACTTCTTCATTACATTTCGCCTCCTTCTCTCTCAGATCTTCTATTCGGCCGTGCGTTGGGTCAGCTATGATTGGCCCGATCGGGTTGACCATGTGCCTGACCTAATGAAGTGCGTTCGTTTTAATCATCTCTCGCCCATATTCTTACGTTTCCTGCAAAAGCAGCACAACACACGTGTAATGCAGTACATAGCCAATTTACCATATGTGCAGGACCAGATCAACAAAGCCTTTATGTGAGTTCCAAATAACTTTTCAGTCATCAAATTCCATTTATGAGCATGTTCAATTCCAGCTACGCCTCCGCTGAGCTCTTCTGCAAGGATCCCCAGCAGACGTTGCCATTTCCGGTGCCCGAGTACGAAGTGCCGGAGCAGCGCCGTTGGATCTATGACGAAAAGTGCTCCTATCATCATGACCTCAAGTGTAGCCAACGTCAGTTCATTACCTATCAACAGTTCCTCAGCTATCTGGAGAGTCTGCACGAAACAGGACCTGATTACTGGCGCAACCTAGTCTATATAACCGAGCCCATCAAGTGCTGCACACGGCTCATGCCTGAATAGACACACACACACGCACAAGCACTGGTCTTTATAAATATTTATGTATGTATACAGTTACACACCTCCACTGTGTGTGGCTGGCCAGGCGGAAGTATGCCGCAGTATTTGGCCAGCCAAGTCTTTCCAGTTGGATTTCATCGGTTTTTAATAAGACAGCTAAATGCGACATGAATTGACTTTTGCTTTGGCCTCCCTTCCTCAGCTCTTTGTTTGCTTGTCTCTGCTGCTATTGTGGCTGTTGTTGTTGTCATTGTTGGTATTGTTGGCAGCCAGGTAAACGTGAAGCCAACAACACCTTCACTTTTGCAATTTCAGTTGCAGTTGCGAGATTTGTCAGCAGGATAAATAAGCAGCTGCCGATGGCTGAATTCCCTCAACAAATTTGGCAGAGGCTTCAAAAGTGGGCAATGCCTCACATAGAGATTTATATGAAAACCTAACCAGTTTAACCTACGTCAGTTCTGAATTTAAAGCTAGCTAAGATTGCACTAAAATTATTTAACAAGTGCTTATCCTAAATATTTATATTACTTATTTATTATCTTGACTACATATTAAAAAATAAAGTGTTTTTAACATTATTTGTTTTTTAATTTTGTATAATATTTTTTAAATCTATTTTTAAATTATTATTTTATATGCTGTTTTTATTTTTATTTATTAATTTTTTTTTTTTTTTTTTTTTTTTTTAATATTATTTTTTATGCTAATTTTGCCTTTGTTATTATTTTTATTAAGATTATTTTTTAACGTTTAATTCATTTTCATTTATATATATTTAATGTGTATATATTTAAATATAAAAATTAAAAATTAAATATAAATTTTTATAAATATATGCAAAGGTTAGTAACTAGCTTTCATATACACAATTTCAATGTTAATTCTAACTACTTAATACCCAACTAGTTATATAGGGAAGATTAATGCACTTACTCTCTGGTGTTGGAATCTGTGCGCCGTGTGTCGTTAGAGCTGCGATTGTCTGCAATAGAAAGTGGATAGAGATTAGAAGAATGTTCATTAGCTAGACAAACGGGGGGCGAGCATAAAGCTGTTGACATAAATCACGATCGAGCCGACATTAATGCCACACTAATCTATGCAACTCTGCAGGCTGCAGAGCTGAGCTCCTTTAATTAAAATGGAAATGCAGAGAAATGCGCCAAGATATTCGTGCACACAAAGGCAGACAGAGATAGAGAGCGAGAGGGAGAGGGGGCTGGCTCTATGTATATGGGCAACATTATTCTCACGATTCTAAAGGCGCAAATGCAGCCAAAAAAAAAAAAGAAGAAAACTTTCGCCAACAGCAGCTCGCGCCGGGTTAGAGTTGAAATTCAAACTGTGCCTCCCCGAGTGGCGACTCAGACGGAGGCTGAGACTAAGCCAAGCCGGCTTAGAATCGAGGCATGGAAGAGCTTTCAGCCAACTACAAAACTCCAAGCTGCCAGAGTCTGTGCTACTTTTGGCAACTTGGCACGGCATCAATGGACGATGCGGTGCAGCGGAGTGCAGCTTGGCGCTGTTGCCGGGCTCATATTCAGGTTAATCTCACAGAGGCCAGCCAATTGTCATTCACAGCCTCTGGACTCTGATTGATGTGTTTAGCCAATTTTTCTATTTTTTCTCTTTTTTTTTTTAGGGAATGAGGTCAGACAATGAGTGCTCCAAGCTTGTTTGATAAAAGTGAGATATGTATATAGGGTTGTTCTTGAGACTATAACGTGCTGCTGGTATCTGGAATTGGTAGAATTGAATTATGGGGTAGTTCAGAAACCTTTTAGCTAGATAGGGAGACCAAAGGAATTTCTTGGAATTCTTGTATGAGCTGGAAGCTAGCCTAAATATATTTCAGACTATATAGGTACAACAAAAGAGAGAGAGAGGAGGCTAGACTCTAGACTTAAAGGGATTCTGATCATTTACTCTTGTCCAATTTACCCTCAGTAGAAGTTGGCATCAGATATACCGAAGCAAAATATATATCGGATATATTATCCGCATGACTTCTCCATATAAACATCGGGTATCTAATGACTCGATTCTCTATATATTATCATAATCTCTATACTTACAATTAGGTGCAGCGCCGTGCATAAAATTCGAGTGCTTGCCTTCATCGTGGGTGCTGCAAAGAGACAAACAGAGAGAATTAGAGAAATTGTGAGCGAGCTCTGGTGATTAATTAGAGAGAAACAAAACATTCGTAAACCGGTTCACTATCTTTATATACAAATCCGATTACATTATGCAAAAAGAAAAAAAAAAAAAAAAAAAATCATGTTTAATGAATTTTTGATTAGAGGTGTTGGCTGTTATTTTTTTTGTTTCGCTCGAGGCGAAACTTTCAGCTGAGACAGCCCTGACAATTGGGTCAGCCAAGCTTGCTGCCAACAGGCTGCCTGCCACAGGTTGCGTGCCCCGCCAGAAATGAGGTTAAAATCAGCATAGGCAGCAGCAACAGCAGAGGCAACACATATGCACAGGAAGCAACAAGCATCATAACGGTAAAGGCGCATCGAGAGGGCGCATCTGAGGCAAGCAAGGCGAGCAAAACCAAAAACGGGTATTAAACACATATCAATAACCAAATGGGGCACATGATAAGCAGTTTCCATCTGCATGCAGCTTCCTGCATGCATTGAGTGCTGTGAGAAGATATGAAAGTCGAGTCATGGTCAGGAAGAGGCAGCAAGTTTTCTTGTTGTTGATGCTGTTGATTGTTGCTGCTGCTGTTGTTTTTGTTGTTGTTGTGCTGCTGCTGGTGTTGTTGCATGATCGTTATCGAGAGTCACAAGAACATGCAGCTTACATAGGCTGGCCGGGCGCATGTGATAAAAGCCGCTAGAGACTTCTGTTTGCTCGCCGAGATGATGTCACAAGACAAACAGTCAAACAGAGAGACGGAGAGACGCACGGACGTACACACTCACCCATTGATTGCAGCTGTCTATTATTCCCGGTGCTATAATCTTTTTGGGATTATTAATAAATGGAAATTGGGTCAACCGATATCGTCTGCGTGCGTTGATAAATGGTTGGCATTATCCAACCAAATATATATGTATGTATATAGATATTTGTCAATGCCAGGCCCACACAAAAACGAGAGACAATGAGAGCCAGAGAAAGAGCGAGAGGGGCGAAGAAAGAGCGAGAGATCTTCCGATCGCAGCTAACCGCGTGGCTTCACTCACAGCTTTCAACTGACAGCCGTCCAATGCAAAAAGTTAACCAATACTAACAACAACAACAACAACAACAGCAGCAGCAGCGGCAACAACAAATAGACAATACTCGCATTGCAATAAATTAGCTAAAATTAGATGCATGACGTAAACCCATTTAGCAGCAAAGCGCAAAAATGTCACCAATTGAGCTTCACTCGCAAAAAAAAAAATATATATATATACATATAAATAAACAATAAAAAAAAAACAGTCAACAGCTGTTTCAGGCTAAAAGCGCAGCTCATGCATTGGTAATCGCGACAGCCGAGAGAAAAAAATATATATAAATATAGGGCAAATTTTAGATGCTCTAAATGAAGAAGGTTAAGGTGAAATTTAAATAAATGTTTAAATATTAAATTAATTAAGCATTTTTTATTAGAATATATATTAAACTCTACAAAATTAATTCAATAAAAATATAGATATATGTACATATAATTTGATATATTTATGCAGAATGGATTAGAAGTGTTTTCAGTCTTTAAATAATCATTTAATATTTTTATATTTTTCATTTGTTATTATTTTTATTTTTTCATATTTTTATTTGCTATTTCAAATATATATTTTATTATTAATGAATGAATGTAGACTTCAATACACTTTCCAAAATAACCCGATCCCTTTCATTCCTTGCTCCATTACAATATCAACAGACTCATTGCAAGCGAAAATAAGCAAACAAAAACGATAAATAGGAAAAAAAAGGGAGAAAAAATTGTGCGCATTGCGCTCAACGGAAATTATGAATAATGAACTCTGATTGGCATCTGCTCTCGTTACCCAGTTTCGAGAGTTTGAAAAAAAAAAAAAAAAAACGAAATCAAACAGCAACATGAGCGAAAAAAAAACCTTTGCAATAAACCCAATGAATTGGATTCAGAAGTGACCTTCGAGTGGGGTACGTCAGTTCAGTAAGCAGGAAATTGCACAGAAATCAACTGAAAATTCATTTTAGCTAAGCTAATTCAGTTAATTTGTCGGTTTGATAGCACTGGTATAATATTGATAAGATTAGCGGTTTAATATATAATAAAACTCGTTTTATAAATGTGTGTATGTATGTGTTCATGTATATAAATAAGTTTGTATTTATCAGTATTAAATTTCTAAAATGTTTTTTTTTTATGGATTCTTTTTATTAGAAAAAAAGAGATAAATAATATAAAGCTGAAAAAACCAATTAAAAAAAAAACATTTAAAAAAATTTAATATTAATTAAAAATTTAAACATATATATATTATTTTTATTTCTATATTATATTACATATCTATGCTTTATTTCATTAAAAAAGATTTTTAACCAACATATATTGTATACAACTTATATTGTATATGTATGATAAGTTCTAGATAATACACCTAATACATATATACAAATATATGTGCATATATATTATGTACTTTGATTTGAACATCTGAGCATTTTCAATCGATGATCATCAATGCGAATGCGTGCGTGCATTCAGCTGTAACGGATATTTTTATGTGACTCTGTCAAGTGTCGTATTCGTTTGACACACATTCCGTAACAGCAACCGCAAACAACAGCAGCAGCAACAGCAACAACAACAAAAACAACAAACACAAAAACCTTTAAGCCAAAACAAATACGTATAGAAAAAGCCGACAAATGGGCCGTGCAACTGAATAAATTAAGCGAGCTACGAGCAACGCGCAGCGAGCTGTGAGCAGCGCGTGTAAAAAAAAAATTTAAAAAACTTAAATAACAGAGAAGACAAAAAGCGCTAAGCAAACATATTTGTTTAAACAATTGCATTTTCATTTACGAGCGCAACTAGACGTATACGTAATGTGGCGACTAAATGACCTCGCGTGCTGTTGTTTCATTGTGCCAAAGCCGCCAGCCATAAACATATGCAAAAGCCCATTTTTTCATAGTTTTTCAAGTAGATTTTTTACTATTTCG